GGCATAGTCTGTGGTGCTAAAAATTACAGGGTAGACGTTTGGGTTGGGTGGAACTCAGGCTCAGAGACCCACCTCCCCTCACATGGTTTCAGAGTCTGGCCTCCAGCCCCAGTGCAAACATCTGCAGTTCACCTCAGTTAAACCTGGGTGTATCTCTACCTATGGCACTTCTGTAGCACTCACCATGGTTCCTGTCCTCCAGGGATGTGCACTGATGACCAATTCCTGCACAGGAGCAACAGGCGTGAATGGCCCACTTGCATGCAACAGTCCCAGTGTAATAGTCTTTGCCAAGGCCTCAGCTAGGCCAGCTGACGAGTGGCACATAAGTACATGCTTTCAGTACAATGCTCCCTTAGTGTGAAAAACGTTATTCGCAATAACTGCCCATAGCCACGCTGATTCACAGAAATAAACAACGTAAGACACCTGGCCTGCACAGGACAAACACTACACAGAATTGTGCAAGGACACCATATTAAATCAGGGAATCCGAACACTTGGAACAGACAGAAAGAAAAGGTATAGGCAAAGGAGAACAGAGAAATTTCCAGCTGAGAGCTGAAAAGAGTTGATGAGGTCCAGAGGGACAGGCAGGCTGTTCCAGGCCACAGAAGTCTGACCAGAGACCTCTGACCTGGTGGACACTGGGGATATCAGGAAGATCGTGAGGGAGGCTGATTTCTGATGTGGCAGAAACTGGTGCATGTCAGAACCACCACAGAAGAAGCTGTTCTTGGACCTGGTGGGAGCCAGGACACACCAGAGAGAGTTGGTCCTGTGACCTGGCTCAAACGGGACGTACTGGAGGTACTGTGAGAGAAACTGACCTTGTGAAACATTCAGAGCAGCGTTTTGGATGCTTATCTGAGCCCTTCGCAGTTGGCTTATAGCTACCTGACATGGACTAGGGCTTGGATCTAGACTCATCAGGCTCCACAACATGAGTATTGCACCCACTGCACTGGAGAAAACCCCAAGGTTTCAGTGACGGTAAATGGCCGGGGGGGGGGGGGAGGAGTTTTCACGAGGAAGAGGATGAGGAGGAAGGTGACACTGAAGGACATTTACCAACTAATTTCCTCGTCAACAGAAATCAACTAGCATTGCAATTTTCATCTCCTTTAATTTATCCCAGTTAATCCTTTCTGCCACAGTCTTGTTAAATATGAGAGAGATGGCTATTTCCCACTCCAGCTAGGTTTTGGCTTGTTGGGCCCTATGAAATATGAGCTCTGCCTGACCCTTTCTAACACAGTGTTAGTAAAACAAAATCATTCGAGCAGTTGGAAAAACCTCATACAGCTATTTTACTTTAAAGGACACGACAGTTTAGTGTAAACAAAGGGGGAATAAACTATGGGGATGTATGCACACTTACAGTCAATTGGAAACAGCTGTTGGAAAGTACTACAGCAACCTGAGAGTGGAATCTGCAACTTTGGATTTTAGGATTGCACAAATGCACTCTGTGTTTGCTTAGCATCTTTTTTAAAACAAACAAACAAACGAACACTTATTGCGTACGTCTGCGTGCGCATAAGATGCATTTCAAAGAGGGCAGGGAAAGCAACATGCTCATGGATTCCGATTCCCTTCCCTGATTGGAGAATTTCGCTTTCAAAGGCTTGGTGGAGGCTGGGAGGAAAGGATAAAGAAGCCGGGGAAGGAAGGAAACAGCAAAGGCATGATAAAATCCCTTGTAATTATTGTCTGCAATCAACCCGAAAAAGCCACATACTGCACTTGGAAGTAAATCTGACTATAGCCCGAGGAACAGAAAGGCATGAATTTAAAGGAACCTTTTGCCCAAAGATTTTTGCTTCTTTTGTCTTAAATGGGTATTGTGAGGTTGGGAGAGGATTATGGAGCTGTGAATTCTAAATAAAACAACAATTTGGGGGCACATTGTTAGGTCCTTACTCCCGCCTTTACTCAGGGAAAGCGCCCATTGTACGTTATAAAATTTTTATTTTATAGGCTATTTAATGCACATGGAAAATGCTGGGTTGATAGCCCTGGAGATGGGTGTTTCCTAGTTGCACAGAAAACACCGCAAGTGTCCCTCGCTACTGCTCTATCCATTAGGCTCAAATTTAACCTCCTCAAAGAAAGAAATGAGAGTTCATTCTCCATTTTCCATTCAGTCCTTGGCCTCTCTATTAAGACAATGGGGTCAGAATGTCATTGGCTGTGGGCACCACTTATCTTGAGATGTTGATAATGGGGAACAAGTCCCCATTTTGAATCCAAACTAGATCAGTAGCTACTCAAAGTCCCAAAGACCTTGGGAGGCAGGCCAGTCCTCGCTTACAGACAACCCCCCAACCTGAAGCAAATACTCACCAGCAACTACACACCACACCACAGAAACACCAACCCAGGAACCAATCCCTGTAGCAAACCTCGTTGCCTAGTCTGTCCCCATATCTACTCTGGCGACACCATCAGAGGACCCAACCACATCAGCCACACCATCAAGGGCTCATTCACCTGCACATCCACTAATGTCATATATGCCATCATGTGCCCGCAATGCCCCTCTCCCATGTA